TGACTTTTAATCTGTCACCTGTCACACAATGCACTGTTGTAAGTTAATGTAATTCAATATTTTGTCACGGACATTTTTATTATTTGTTGAAGGGATGTTATTCGAACAATCTTGATATACAGTGAGGGGAAAAAGTATTCGATCCCCTGCTGATTTTGTACGTTTGCCTACTGACAAAGAAATGATCAGTCTATAATTTTAATGGTAGGTTTATTTGAACAGTGAGAGAAAGAATAACAACAAAATCCAGAAAAATGCATGTCAAACATGTTATAAATTGATTTGCATTTTAATGAGGGAAATAAGTATTTGACCCCCTCTCAATCAGAAAGATTTCTGGCTCCCAGGTGTCTTTTATACAGGTAACGAGCTGAGATTAGGAGTCACTCTTACCTGTATAAAAGACACCTGTCCACAGAAGCAATCAATCAATCAGATTCCAAACTCTCCACCATGGCCAAAACCAAAGAGCTCTCCAAGGATGTCAGGGACAAGATTGTAGACCTACACAAGGATGGAAAGGGCTACAAGACCATTGCCAAGCAGCTTGGTGAGAAGGTGACAACAGTTGGTGCGATTATTCACAAATGGAAGAAACAAAAAAGAACTGTCAATCTCCCTCGCCCTGGGACTCCATGCAAGATCTCACCTCGTGGAGTTGCAATGATCATGAGAACGGTGAGGAATAAGCCCAGAACTACACGGGAGGATCTTGTCAATGATCTCAAGGCAGCTGGGACCATAGTCACCAAGAAAACAATTGGTAACACACTACGCCGTGAAGGACTGAAATCCTGCAGCGCCCGCAAGGTCCCCCTGCTCAAGAAAGCACATATACATGCCCGTCTGAAGTTTGCCAATGAACATCTGAATGATTCAGAGGACAACTCAGTAAAAGTGTTGTGGTCAGATGAGACCAAAATGGAGCTCTTTGGCATCAACTCAACTCGCTGTGTTTGGAGGAGGAGGAATGCTGCCTATGACCCCAAGAACACCATCCCCACCGTCAAACATGGAGGTGGAAACATTATGCTTTGGGGGTGTTTTTCTGCTAAGGGGACAGGACAACTTCACCGCATAAAAGGGACGATGGACGGGGCCATGTACCGTCAAATCTTGGGTGAGAACCTCCTTCCCTCAGCCAGGGCATTGAAAATGGGTCGTGGATGGGTATTCCAGCATGACAATGACCCAAAACACACGGCCAAGGCACAAAGGAGTGGCTCAAGAAGAAGCACATTACGGTCCTGGAGTGGCCTAGCCAGTCTCCAGACCTTAATCCCATAGAAAATCTGTGGAGGGAGCTGAAGGTTCGAGTTGCCAAACGTCAGCCTCGAAACCTTAATGACTTGGAGAAGATCTGCAAAGAGGAGTGGGACAAAATCCCTCCTGAGATGTGTGCAAACCTGGTGGCCAACTACAAGAAACGTCTGACCTCTGTGATTGCCAACAAAGGTTTTGCCACCAAGTACTAAGTCATGTTGTGCAGAGGGGTCAAACACTTATTTCCCTCATTAAAATGCAAATCAATTTATAACATTTTTGACATGCGTTTTTCTGGATTTTTTTGTTATTTTGTCTCTCACTGTTCATATAAACCTACCATTAAAATTATAGACTGATCATTTCTTCGTCAGTGGGCAAACGTACAAAATCAGCAGGGGATCAAATACTTTTTCCCTCACTGTACAAGGAACACGCGCGTTGATTAAAAACGTTATTTGTCTAAAAGGGAAACATGAAACACTACTGAAATAACCGTGCTTACAACGTGTAAATGCGAGTATATTGAGTGTAATTTGGCACTAAAAAAATGGAGTTCATCTTGTATCGTTATCCCATTTAAAATAGGGAAACATAAAGCAAGCGCTGAACTAGCAGACACATGTGGTACATCAGCTAACAGGTTTAAGATAGAGGTGTGAGTTCAGCACATTTATAACAATTTATTTTACAATAAATAGATTGCATAATTAAGCTTTAAAAAACAGCCTACATTAAACATGTATTAAAAAATAACCACGGTCTTTTGTGCCTTTCAATACCCTTCCAAAGATTCCTCTATGCTAGTTCTCACGTGCAAAGTTTGAGATTCATATATATACAGCAATAATTAAGGTGGTAAAATTAAAGGTGTGAAATATGTGAGAAATTAAGCAGATTGGAGCATTTACTCCAATTCAACCCACTGGCAGCGTAGCTCCCAAAGCATTGAATATTCTATTAAATGAAGCCAATGGAACGTTTAATTGGCCTACATATACCGACTGCAAATGTCCCATCCTGCTTCTAAACTACAGATGGCTACATTGGTGAATTTACTATTTAACTTATTACAAATGGCGACTCTCCAAAATCTGAGGATGCGCACACTGTAACCATTAAGTATTTTTTGCTGCTGTTAAAAAAAATCAGCCTCGGGTTTCGTGCCCAACTTCTGTTCAGAGCCCTGTGCCAGTGGTGGAAATTCTACATACCATGGTAGGACAGGGTCAGATCGATGTACAGAACACCTGCTTTTGCCTTTCCACAAAGCGGTACTCATTTCATCAGCCTCACGACGGATGAATTGCAAAGCAATTCTAATCACTTTCTTTTTGTTATATATATAAAAAAACTCATCAGATAGAAAAGTGAGTGCAGGCTGGAAACAAATAAGATCAATGATACACACAAACATGTTGTCCATAATCCATACTCTTTGGTTCTTTCGGAAAAGTTCACGTAGTTAGAAATAAAATAAAATAAATCACGACGTTTCGATCGCAACACAAGCGGTCGTCAACAGACGAATGATGACGACCGCTTGTGCTGTGATCGAAACGTCGTGGTTTTATTTTATTTTATTTCTAACTATGTGAACTTTACCGAAATAACCAAAGAATATTTTGTTCATAGAAAGCAACAGGCACAATGGTCACCATTGAATCAAGTTCTCCCATTGTGCCTTGCATGCTACTACCTTTTGTGCCTTACAGCTGGTTGCACATAAACTTTATTTATGCTTTTCTAGGATAGCGGCACTGTCGAACTTTATTGTGGATAACAGCGGGAAATATTGGTCAAGTATCCATTAATATTTTATTACAATGCAGCAAAGCCCATTGTGTTGCTGTACAGATCATCATATACAATACTAGGCTCATCGATATATGTATCTCCTTACCTACTATACTAGTGACCTCAAAGTCCACCAATGACTAAAGCTGTCATCTAGGAGAATCATAGAGGAATTTGTTTGTGCCGTGCGTAAGTGTTTGCCGTTGGATCCAGAAACAATGCAACTTTACGCGTTGTTTTGCTTTTTCCCGAATTTTATTCCAATCGTGCTGTAAGTGCCATGGTAGGAGATGGAGTATCCATTCGAAGCTCTCAAAGAGAAGTGCATCACTCCATCAAAGGGAAAACGACCCATGGGAGGCGATATTACAGGACTTCTTCCAGAGAGTCGATGTGTAAGGTTTGGCCCCATGCTTCTGGTGGAGTGACCCTGAGAAGGGCCTTTCTGAGCATTTAAGTTACTACTCTGCCGAGTTTATGAAATTTGTTTGCATTTCGAAAACACTTGACAGGTGACCACGTGACGGTTGTTATCTCCCACCCAGAACTATTTCTGATATCCCTGCAGTTGACCTCTTATCCACACTCGGGACATTGCACTTTGGCAAGACGCGACAGGGATGTTAGTTGCATGGCAGTCAAATTCACATTTTTAATTGCCGTACTGAAATTGTATCAAATTAACCTGCAAACTCAAATGGACCTTTTTTTTTTACCAGTCATCGGTAACTGTGCCTGAGGATCATCCACTTATCAAACTTGAAAACCCAGTTTGATTCTGGGTTGTTTGAATCCTGGATTTGACCTCGGGATCTCAGCAGCACAACGTCTCTCTTTGTCTCCGACCCCCTCAGAGCCACCCTACCAGGGCCTTTTTTTTAATGCATTCATGAAGCAGTAAATTATGAAACGCGGAGAAACGGCAGTGCATTATAAATGGCCAGTGCAGTGTTTGACAGAGGACTCACGGCACAGATGACTGATTACTGTGCGAGTCTTGGGGAGAGGGGTCGGGGGGGGGGGGCTCACAGAGGGGTCTCACCCAGTGCCGCCTACACACACGTGACGTATGCACGTGCATGCATTCCCCCCCCCCCCCCCCCCATATTACCGCGTCCTTCTGTGTCGATCCAATGATGAGCTTTGCCACCATCCAGTGGGCAAGCTCATCGTTATAGAGGGGGCCCGCTGGGTCATGGCCCCACTAATGAAACATTTTTTAGACAAAAAAACACCCTTACCAATACTTACCTGCTCATTATAATGATTATAAATTGGATACACCACCCTCCCCCACTGGTTTCTGTACCCCACCAATATATTTCTCCACCGGCCGCCACTGGTCTCCCTCGAAGTGTATTTAATTATTTAAAACATTTTCCAAGTAAGGCCCACTATAGAGCTCTTTTTCAGAAGCGACCTGGCCTCAAATGATAGCTCAACGAAGTGGCTTATCACGTGTACATTTATTGCAGCCAAATACTCTAAATGCATGTTTATACATGTGGGGGGAAAACCGGACGACCTGGAGAAAAATCCACACGACAACGGGGAAAGAGACACGCAAACTCCAAATAAACAGCAGGTGTCAGGGTCGGGATTGAACCCACAACCTCCTGTATAACAGGCGAGGAAGTTAACATCTCCATAAAACATGTTTTTTCGGTAAGATCGCGTAAATGTGTCGTTAAGCCCGCCACCACCCAACACATATATACATATATATTTAACGACACATTTATATATTTACGCGATCTAACCAAAAAAAAACCCGCATTACGGATGATATTGCTCTCGAAAGCCTACGTGTTAAACTAGTTAACATCTCGCCACCGTGGCGCTCCGCGTGCATGCTAAACAGGCGAGCGAAGCGATCTAATTGTTTGTTGTAGCAGCTCCGCAATCTCTCTCCTCCGGGGAATGTCTCGCTCGCTTCGCAGGTCGTGTACAAAAACAACGACGTCCGCCTGGAGCTGTCGCGCCTCGCCCAGGCGAACGACCCCAAGATGAAGGTCCACGGAAACGTGGTGTTCCGCTGCGAGGAAGTGGCCACGCTCGACCCCATCTCCTTCGAGACGCCCGAGTCGCACGTGTCCCTGCCGCGCTGGAACGCCAAGAAGATCGGCTCCATGGCCTTCGACTTCCGCTCCACTGAGCCCAATGGGCTGCTGCTCTACACGCACGGGCGGCCCAAGGGAGCCACGGGGGTTCTCCTATCGGCGCGCGAAAGGTCAGGGAAACACCTCGCGCGAGCAAAGGTCACCGAGAGAGCGCCGCTTACACGATGATAACGATGGTTTTTCTGAGTCTTCCTTGGGACGCGCTGCACACTTACCAGCGCAGCGCTTTGTCAGGTCAGCGCAGAGTGAGGCCCTCCCCGTGCCGTGTGGGTCACGGGGAGTTATTTTCGCCGTACTTCACCACGCTGGTCAGCGTAGGTTGATGAAGGCAGGGGAGCACATGCAGGGAGTATAGAAGTGCAGTACAGTGATGGATTCGGCACTGCCTTCTGCTGCCTGCAACATAGCCATGCAGTCTATGAAGCCTGTTGTGTGTGGCACAGTCAGTAGAAATGGGCAGCCCCTAATTCTTTATTTTTTGTAGCAAAAGAGTCATTTGTGTTGGTTTACAAACAAGGGTTGGCATCCAAAATAACAAGAAGATACATTTTTTTTCTATTCGATAAAAAAAACTAAAATTTTCAAGAGCCGCAATGCTTGTGAATAGGAGGCGATCCTGAATAAACAACGTCTCGAAGCAGTCCTTAAAGAGCAACATGCAGTTCCGGAGCCGCAGGCTGCCCAATCCTGGATTACAAGGTCCCTATTTGCTATTAGTTTCAAGAGTACATGCTCTACACGGCCGTGCGTGTAGAGCAGCAGCCCATTGGGCTCATTGGAGTGGAAGTCGAAGGCCATGGAGCCGATCTTCTTGGCGTTCCATGTATATATATGTACAGGGGCGCTCAATAATGGTTCTGGCCCAGTTGGTGGCTGGGTGAACTCTTGAGTTACCTTGTATGCACACCAGCCACGTGCCTCTTGGAGGCCTGGTACAGACCTGCCTGGGTGTAAAATACATTTTGTGGCATTTTACAGGTATTTCAAGACTAAATGTGTTGCCATCGATCTGGAGCGCCTCGTATCTTCGTGTCGAATGTGCGATGCACGTACGGCGGTCGCCTATTCAAGCTCATCTCTGCTTAGCTTCCGAGATCTGACGAGATTGGACGCATTCCCAGTGACTTGGTTACAGGCAATCTATATTTAGTTGTTGTTATACCACCGCTGGAAAAGCAGATATGGTGTGATTGTCCACTGGGAAGACAAAATACTCTCAATTTAATGAGTTGACAAGTCTAAAAAGTATATATATACAAACACACGTAGTTTTGCTTCTCTGTAGACATTAACGACAAGCCGATTCATCCTTTTCTTCTCTTGCTTGACACACAATAGTGAATAACACATCTCAGCAGTGTTGAAATCGCACCGACATTTAAATAATATCACAAACTTCACTGCCACCTCTTCAACAATGAAACCCTTCGCAATTCTCCAACACCACCAGCTTTTTCTATTTCCAGATCCCAACGACACCTCCTTAGGGGGTGCATCACTCATCCTCCTCCTACCGCCTTCCAACGATGATCAACATCCAAACATTCACCCTCTGAACCCTCAGGCCTCCTCACCGATTTCCCCCTTTTTGCCTCTTTGTGGCCCCCGCGCAGCATGAACAACCCTCGCAAGGTGGACTTCTTTGCCATGGAGCTCTTGGAGGGTCACCTGCACCTGCTGCTGGACATGGGCTCGGGCACCATCAAGCTGCGAGCGTCGCCGCGCAAGGTCAACGATGGCGACTGGCACCACGTCGACTTCCAGAGGGATGGGCGATCAGGTCGGGCAACTCTTTCAAGTGCTCATACACCCATCCGTCCGTCCGATGATTTACTAACTGCTTGGTGTTCGCATTCTTTGGCTCCAGTGGGTGTACGGTGATGCCTGTTGTCAGGTGTTCAGCGGTGGTGAACTCGAGAGCTAAGATTATAATAGACATTTACGTAGAATTGAATATAACGTGACTGCGTGGTGGATCGGTGGTGCCATGGTTAGCATTCTCCACTTTGAATCTGTTCACCTGACGAGTTCCATTCTAAGATGTGGCTTGCATCAGCGGCAAGATACATCAGAGGCAGTGCTGGGCCATCCCAATGACCAACTTGAACTGACCGGCATGGTGTAGTATGGTTCAACAATCCCCGTGACCGACAAAGTGTGGGGAGGCCTTTTGTCTAGCAGTCATTTAAATAATGACATAATTTTTCATTAAAATCACCTATAATTTTATCCTAAATCATTTCCTAACAATGTTTAGCTAAATTCATTTTCACGTAATGTGTAGAGTTAAGTAACAACACGCAAAAGTCCACAGAGATAAGTTTAATGACCCACTTGCTATACTGCCACATCCCAGGCACCGCATAGTCCAGGAGGATTGGGGCTGCGTCTTTATTTATTTTCCCAACATTATAGAGCTAAATTTTAATACCGATCTATGAATAGCACCACGAATATGAAAGAAAAAAACACGTGTCATCAACACAAAACCATCGGTTTCATAACAGGGACGGTTTGGTCTTCTCGAATGGCCATAGACCATTAGAACTGCATAGGCAGTGACACCCAGGTGTTCAAAATTGGCTATGATAGGTATGGGGGGGGGGGGGGGGTTGGAAGGAGCCCGCTGAAGCCCCTCATCTATGTTCAGTCTTCTTTCTATTCCTCATTGCCCTTTGATAACCGTCTTAGTTTCCCTTTGTGTGGTTCCAGGCTCACACATTTGAACAATTACCGCCATTTGAAAGCACATCAATTCACGGGAAGAAAAGAGATAGAGGAGTGATCACTCAACACGCGGACATCAAGTGGCACGGTTAGGTGTTCTATTCACGCGTGGCAACTCCGTGGTCGGTAGGGACTTCGGAGAGAGAGAGAGAAAGAAAACGCGCAGCCGCAGCCCCAACAAAGTCAGCAAAGCCATTATTGTGCGCAGATTATTTATGGATTATGAGGTCACTGCTATTAATCACAACCGGTGACCACGCTGGAATACAACGCTGGGGTATGATACCAGCGTGCTCAGTGTGAGCATGAAGGGAAAGACAATGATACCAATGAGCCACATGAGTGCATGCTGAATTAAGTGCTCTTTTAAAACGATTGAATTTCCAACAATATCATTTTGCACGTGCAAAAACATACAAATTGGTGTTTTCAATTAGATGAAGATAAAGTTAAGATTTTTTTTTTTTTACTTAGGAATAATCTTCACTTTCATGGGGGCTTTTTATCAGGAAGAGAAAAAGAAAAAAAATCAATGTTTTGATTGTACAAAGTGCTTTCCAAAGCTTTAAGTGGTGCTTCAATAATAAATTGTGAGAGAAAATATATAAATAGAAGGTTGGGAAGTATAGGATTTGTATAAATCAAAGACCTGTGGATCACTGCGGTAGAGTGGAAGTTTTTTATATTGGCACTTTCTGCCACATTATTCACTCAGCAGTCGGATATTTCCCTTGCAGATTTGGAGTTTTAACTCATTACACAGTTGCGGAATTCAAAATGGGAAATAGCGCTGTTATGTACGTATGTATTTTGAACTTTTCACACCTTACGTAGCCACACGTGCACAATGAGGTAACATGTTTTGGGGGAAACATTTTACGTAAATTGAATGAAGACTGCAGGTGCAGTCAAACAACAGTTTAGTCACTGTTGACATTAATGCACTCTGGTAATCTACGGTTACTATTTGAAAATTGCCCTAGCATTTTCTGTTCAGTGTTTCATTTCAAATAAATGAATAAAACTAAAACCATTCCTCAGCATATGAATGCATGTATAAGCATTGTGCGGGGCGATAATGAACTTCAGATGAGAGCGGGAATAAACGTCGACCGTTTTTCCACCTACGAATGCATTTTTGCGGAAAATTATAGCGAAGCAAAAAAAACAGTGGGCACCAAACAACCAAAGTAAAAAAAATATCAGCTCTGCACAGCAGCGGCAATGGAGACATAATTTAGCGTTGAACTATGAGGTCTGTCCTCAGGGAGTTTGTGTAGAGAAAGACCCACCGGTGAAATATGGTCGAGTAAATTTCAGTCGATAAGAGACTCAGACGGTGATGGCTGGAGTCTTAAACCACCGACCTTAAAGACAACGAGCAGCAGGATTTTCACCTGCAGATGAGGCTCGCACTGTGTGCATGTGAGCAGTCTTATGTTACGCATCATGGTTATTTTTTTTTTACTTTTTGGCCATTTATGTGTAAAACACATGGATAAGTGACCTTGTTAGTTAGTGCACCCACTTCCTTTTCCATTGCTGCTCATGTTTCATCACCTACATCGCAACCCATGTAATATATTTCCAATCCCCTGGGTGGTCTTATCTTCCGTGAACACAAAAGCATATATTAAACTCCAAATTGCAACGTACATGTATATATTCCCACTAAATTGGGGACACTCTCTAGGCAATGCATCCATTTCACGAATTGGAACCCAAGTGCGTTATTCTGCACAGTGGAGCATTACTCAATTCCCGGAGCAAACAACAGAATACAAAACAAAACGAACACAATTTTGTCAAACACAAGAACAGGATCACCGTGCCCCCAGCTGGTTTAGGAGGCTAAAGCGTCGCAAGGCTTGGTCACAATAGGGAAGGGGACGGCAAATTCAACCGTGGTGCCGTGCAATCTTATCCACCTACCGAGGCGTTTGCCAGGACGTCTGGAAGTGCTTGTTGCCGCGAGAGCAATTTTTTTTTTATTTTAGCACTGGTCGCAAAGCATTGCTGCCCACGACCGGTTGCGTCGCGAGGTTTACACTTTCCACGGTGTCATTTGGCGAGACTCTGTTTTGCAATGCGACACCGCGACGTTGCATCGCACGTGTCAATGTCATGCCGTCGTGCTACAAGCCGTAACGTGAACGCGAGTGGTTTTACATATGCGTGCATATAAATCCACATTAAAACGTGTACGCCATGCTGAATATGTTGGCATTATGTGGCGCCCGGTGATTTGCATCGTTCCTTCTGCACCGTGCAATGTTCTAATTAAAATACATGCTGCCATGCCCGGCAATTGATCATCACACACCAGTGCTCAAGGGTACAGTCATTTATGAGCAACGTGATTGGTTAGAAACAACACAATCCTTCTTGTTGGAGGAGGGGAAAAAACACCCATTTTCGCAGAAGCTGCATGTAGCGGGTTTATAAGAAAGGCTGATGTTGCTCTTGTCGGAATACGTCATATTTCTTAACCATGAGCATTATAGCCGTGGAGTCAAGACCAAACAGCCTCCTTTCGTCAGGAAAATGTATTGCCGTTGCATATTTTATATATATATGTAAAACTAAACAAAAAAACAGCTGAACATCGAATCACCTCAGAAATATATAATGTCTTTAATGAAGATGTGGAGACGGGATCAAACCTACACAGACTTTTTTTTCTCCGAATATATTTTTTAAAAAAACATCTCTTGTTGCTTTTTCCCTTCCCCTAAGTCCTGGAAAAGCCACGAAGTTTTACACTCGTTTATTTATGAAACGGGCTAAAGAAGAAAGAAAAAATAAACATTTCACTGGCAACATAACTGTGAGGATTTCTGAAAATCAATACCTGCATCGCAATAGAAGTGACAAAAAGTGTGGCACCGAAGAATGCGGAGCTGGTTTCAGCGCTCCACACGGTTTGCCACAATAGACATCAGCCAGCTGCATGAATATTGCGAACGTTTGCGCCGCAGAGACAAATTAGGTTTCGGGGGAAATTTTCGGCATCATGAAGAGGATGTTCTAATGTGTCAGCTGGGGATACGGACACAGTTTACCCAAACAATAAATGAAAATAACACAAACACGTATTGAAGGAGCTGGAGAGTCGACGTTCGTGGCAATACCGATACGTTTTGAAAAATAACGTGACATTATTTTGCAAGGGTGAAGGTTGATCATTAATTTACTAAATACCACTGGAAAGTAATTCCTCAAAAATATAATTACAAATTCTTCCCTCGTTCTGCACCATAAGAGCCATCTAATTTTCAAGCAATATCACGAAGAAATAAGCCTAAATTCCACGCTAGTCGGGACCGATTTGGCACCCCTGACATCCTCTCTAAATTAATGCGGCCTTACCACCATAAATTAAACCAAAAACATTTTTTCACATCAGACTGTAACTTTCAGGGCCAAATTCCAGTAAACAACTCAAATAAATCTGGTGGTAAATTGCAAAGCGGACAGTGATGCATTATGCAGACAATGCTGGCACTGTGGTTTTAATAATGATTACATCCTGAGGGCATCACACTTTCTTTCTTTTACTACTCCCAGTCGGTGAATATTTTATGCCTATTTATATCAGGTTTCCTTTTTTCGTTGGCTGCCATTAGCTATAAGTGTGCATCAAGTTTGTGACAATTACCCGATCAACTTTGGTGACAGATTTTCGGATTGATGGGAGAAGATGCGTCAATACAATCAGCCTTTTAGGCTTCCCGTCGCCAAATGCACACATCCCAAATTACCAGATTACTTGAAGGGAAACCGCACAATAAGTGTGCCCAAGATTTCAATTTGAGTTCATTTTACAGTATCGGCTTACAGTGCCTGGGACGTTTATTTAGACAAATCGCTCACGACATACCATTAGGGAGCGATGTTGCCGGAGCATAATAACGCTTGCTGCCAGTATTATTTAGCATTTGCTCCATTAACAGAGGATATAAAAGTAAACAGATAGTCACTGAATATGCAATTTCGCGTTGCTGCTGTTATTTGGTACAGCTCCGAGTGCATAGAATTAGCAGGAGCAGGAAT